CTTTGTCATTTATTTGTTAGTCTTTTGAAAAAAAATTATTTGTAATTTAAATATTTAAAAAAAAAAAATTTCATCTTTTTTAAAAAAAATCTGACTTTATAATGTGATTTCTTTTGTTGGAGATATTCCTGAATCTGGGTGATAATCTCAGAAAAAAAAAGGGGTGTGGGGGGGGGGAATTCACTACTTAATAAAACGAAAAGGAAACGGCAATGATACAGCAGTTAAAAGAATGAATCACAAATATGTTTCAATTTATTAGCTTCACCTTTTGAGGACCGATGGCTTGATAAACATTATAAATCTATCCCCCACCCCTCACCCCCTACCCCCAGGGTGTTACCAGTGGAACAACTAGAGTGGAATATTAACATCAGACCTAAAACCCCCCCCCCCCCCCAAAAAAAAAAAGACCTGGTGAGCATTCCGTGGAAACTGACCACATTCAAATGTTTTCACGGATATCTGAATGTTATCATGACAACCTCAGTGCGTAGCTTAAGAGAAAAAAAAAGAGGGGGGGGGGAGGTATATCCGTGTGCTTTTATTCGTTTACTTCTCTAGCGAATGGACTTAAGTCATTTTTTCAGTTTAATCATATAAATGACAAACATTGAACTTTCAACTGTGAAATTATTAGAAGTTCTTCACATTCTGACAGAAAGAAAAATCTCTTGATATCACTTTCAAAATTCATAAAATGTAAAACCTAAGACAGTAAGGAGCTCCGACCTAATTTGAAACTTCTTTTAGATAACTGTAGACCCAGTGACAAACGCTGACCATGATTCGATCACTATTGGGGGCAATAAACTGGAAAATGAAAAGTTTTTTTTAATGTACTCTACCAATTCACGGCTTCGAGTATTATCAATTTATTATAATGATATACTGTTGTATGTTGTTTACAAGTCCTCCACATCATAATAGACACATATATGTAGCACCTCAGGTTTATTGACATTCATACGTTACGTGAGGATCGAAAGTAAACATTGCTGACGTCACACCTCTCATTCTAACTAGGACTGTGAAACGTAGAAAAAATATTTTTTTAGTTAGTCTTATACTTTGGCCCTAGTTGGTGCAAACCTTTGAGCTTGTCAGTCGCAAACAGTTTGAACAGCATTCTATACATTTCAGAAAAATAGATCCACGCACAGTTGCGACTCGAAATTCAGTGCTAGATTGTGCGGTGCGATTTCGCTGGGGTTTTTTTCCCCTTTAAATTATGTGTTATGACGTCATAGTGATATTCTTTATAAAATTGTGCTAGCAGCTCTTTGTTTATGAAGGCGTTCCGTTCCCAAAGGTTTTTCCTTCACATTGTGTTGTTCTTCTTTGTCAGGGCAATTTTTTTCCCTCCTTAACGTAAACGATACAGTGTGTGACATTATGTAAGCATGATGTATGTAAACGTTATGGCGTGTGACATTATGTAAGCATGATGTATGTAAACGTTATGGCGTGTGACATTATGTAATCATGATGTATGTAAACGTTATGGAGTGTGACATTATGTAAGCATGATGTATGTAAACGTTATGGCGTGTGACATTATGTAAGCATGATGTACCTTAGCCGTTCCACACAAGCGTGCCTTCCCCACCCCTTTATTAAAATTATACATATATATATATATATATATATATATATATATATATATATATATATATATATATATATATATATATATATATATATATATATATATATATATATTATAGATAGATAGATAAATAAAGAGATAGAGAAATAGATAAATAGATAGATAGATATATATATATATATATATATATATACATACAAATATGTATTTGTTTTTTGATGGGAGGGTGAGATATTTTGTGTACATTCAATCATGCGAGTCCTACCAAGCCTATATTCCCAGTTGCGAGGCTGTACGGCATGCTTTTGTAGGTTCAACAGTCCACTGACCCACTATCACATTCCGCTGGTCCGGATTTTTTTTTCTCCATGGCTTTTTTAAAATAATAAAACGAAAACTTTATTTCTTTTTGATCCAATATGACAGCTTTGAATGCATGCGTCGAAAGCTTCACCAAAAAACATTAAAAACCAAAAAAAAAAAACACACAAAAACAAAAAACCAAGCCAAAATAATTTAAAAACACATTTTTTATTATTTTTTTTAAAATGGATATTTCTCTTTTGAGTTCGTGCGCTCGAGAGGTCCTTCACTCCGAGCGGTTGGCACTCAACGTATCTATTGATGCCTTATTGAATATTGATGAAAAGCCTTTCGATAATGCACTGAGCATTCATTTTTTTATATATATATGAGGGCAGAATGACTGAGTTTTCGACATAGTTCTGTTGACTGTGGATGTTGAGGACTCGTTGTTACGGGAAAGTGTGTGTTTGACGTCAAAGTGCCCGATCCAAACACTGTGTCAGAAAGTGTGTGTCCGACGTCAAAGTGCTCGATGTAATTTCTGTGTCAGAGAGTGCTCCCATTTTTTGCTTTAAAAATAAAGTAGTTGACACAAATCGCCGTTTGCTTACAAGCACATGTAATGAGTTTCCCATGTGTAGGGTTTGATACACAGCCGAGATCTGCTGTCCCATGTGTAGGGTTTGATACACAGCCGAGATCTGCTGTCCCATGTGTAGGGTTTGATACACAGCCGAGATCTGCTGTCCCATGTGTAGGGTTTGATACACAGCCGAGATCTGCTGTCGCACGAATGTAAGGTTTAATAGATGGAGTGCCGTATCATATCGAATGGACGGTCAAAACTAAAACTTTGATCGATGAAGTCCTCCCTTTGGGGTGGGGGTGGGGGTGGCTGGGGGTGGGGAGGGGAGTCCTTCGAGTTCTTTAATCCAGGCGTTAACCCGTGACAAAAGGACATTCGATGAAGTCGCTTAGAGCGTGATTGAGAGAAGATTTTCATGGCATGGATTTATAGTTATGTGTGTCAATTCTGTTTTTTTTTTAAAGCTATTTTTACTGTGATGTTCATCATATTTTCCTTTTGTGCTCAGAATAGTAAAACTCATCCACACTGAGTGCGTCCTCGCACAGGTAAAAAGACGAGCTTATATAAGGGAATTGTAAGTAACGTTGTCAAGAAAACGTTGAAGAAAGATTCCGAAGCAATCAGTGTGCAGTTTTGTCTGAATAAATTATATATATATATATATGTATATATATATATATATATATATATTATTTAATGAATGAAGTAAATATTTTATCAAATAGCACGGATAAGTACAACCAACAACTTTATTTATATGCAAAGTCTTTGGTGTATGATAAATTGTATGCATACGTCCACGACAGGGCGTTTGATTCTAAAGCAGTGGTGTAAGACGTGGGGTGCGGAGGGGGCGGTCTGCCCCGGGAGGCACTTTTTTTCCCCTTGTATTGAGAGGCTATAATTTTCGGCCCTCTGTATGGTTTTTTCATGGAAGAGGTGGTGGCAAAAAGCTTGGGCCTCCCCGGGGGGTGGGGGTGTGGGGGGGGCACTTACCTTAGCTACGTCGATGTTCATTAGTCCTTTTTAAATAAACTAATTAAATAACTTTAATCAAGTATTATAATGTTAACATATATTAATTTTTAATTGTACTTGAAAGGATGTAAACATTTTTTTTTAACGGACAGGTTCTAGTGTTACACGTCTTGTCAGATTCTCTGTTGATCTTGCGCTAATAAAAGAAAGGATTTTTTTTAAAAAATTATTTTAAATAAAAGTATGTGAACCAATCTATAAATCAACTAACGATGGCCTGTCCCATCCATCAAATTTTACTAACTGGTATTCACAATTCGTGTTACACACTATCATGTGTGTATCACAACCGGAACAATTCACCGTGATCAGCGGTTCATTAGCAATGAGATTTAAAACTTCACCAAACATAAGAGGAATTTCCGATGGATTCATTTCATGAATGCTCTGCGCGTGCTACATCCTAAACGCTAGAAATGAAGGTATGTCATTCTGTTGTTATTATTTTGTAATCTAACCTTTTTTTTTGGTCTTAATCTGCCACGCAGACGGGGCTAAAAAAAAGGCTAGGACCATTACTATTGGGGGGGGGGGGGGTAAAAAGTGTTTAGTATATACGGGATCCAATAAAGAGTTAAAGTTTGAATTATGGCAGAGGAACACAAATTCAGGATTTTTTTTGCATACACCTAGATTTAAAATTATAACCTAACTTAATACGACAAAAACACGTTTGCCAAACGTTACTAAGTGAACTATTCTCATCTTAGTCGTGCAGGAATACAGTTAATTAAATGTGTTAATTTGAAGAGATAAAAATCCATTATATTCGTTAGGTCATTAAGGGCCTTTCTCTGAACTTCAAATTTTTTCAGAATTTAGTCAAATCACTTAGATTTTTCCCCGACGAGAGAATAATCCAAACAAACACCTAAGACCGAAATCACATGCATGTTAGCAAGGCGTGTATGATTAGGCGTGTATGATTAGGCGTGTATGATTAGGCGTGTATGATTGTAAACAAAGTAGAGCTCAAAACAACTATATGTTTAAAAGGTAACATAATACATTTTTTTTACAAATTTAACGAAATATATTATTTAATCTTTCATTATCATTTTATGCTTATATGTTTCAAACAAATTATCCTTCATTATGCTTATATGTTTCAAAACAAATTACTTCTCATTATGCTTATATGTTTGGAAAAAATTACCTTTCATTATGCTTGCATGTTTCAAAATAAATTGCTATTCAAATTATTTTAAAAAATTTGAAATTTATTATAATTAAGATATAGTTGAGTCTATTTACAAAATTATATTTTCCTCTTTATTTCATGCCTATTGTTAAAAAAAATCAAAAAACATTTTATTTCAGAAACTTCAGAGATGTCACAAATAGTGAACCAAAAAAGTGATATAAGTTAACCCCCCTCCTCACCCGCCCACACCTTACCCGCCATGGAGGCATGTTGCCCTTGGTCGACATTGGTCCTTGCAGGGAGTTCCAGGACTATTCTATTTCGCGCATTTTTTGCGCTTGTCGCACTGGACTTCATCATGCATCTTCACACGCTCGGCAGTCCGGGCGGGGACCGCAACGTCTCGAGGCTCGACTTCGGGTCCCTGTCCAGCTGCAAGCACGAGTTTGTGTACAAAGCGGGTCCGAAAGTGGAAGCTCGGTCCAGACCGGTGCGCTCCGAGCTCGAGTGTGCCAGCATTTGCAGTGGGGATTCCCGATGCAATGCGTACAACTACGTTAGCGACGCTGCGGATGACGATTCGGACAGCTTGCCAGGCGCGACCAAACAATGTGAACTGCTTCAGTCGGCTGCGGTTCGTTGTGCTGACATGGAATCGAAACCCAAGTCGAGGTTTAAGTTCTGTAAGTAACCGTCTCATTGTTATCTAATCGTTAGTAATTATGTTGTCTTTTTTTTTTTTTACATTGCAAGGAATAAAAATTAATTTCATATTTAATTTCATACCCATTACCCTATCATTTGTTTAACAATTAACTTCATGAACCCTTGCTCAATATGATTTGATCCATTTTTCCATACTCAATATGATTTGATCCATTTTTCCATAATCAATATGATTTGATCCATTTTTCCATACTCAATATGATTTGATCCATTTTTCCATACTCAATATGATTTGATCCATTTTTCCATACTCAATATGATTTGATCCATTTTTCCATACTCAATATGATTTGATCCCGTTATCCATGCTCAATATGATTTGATCCATTTATCCTTACCCAATAATATGAATTGATCCACTGTAATCTATTTTCAGATCATTCTTTCATGTACAATATTTTTCATGATTTCCTCGATAATTTTATGTAAGTGGTAAAGTAATTTTTTTTTTTTTACCAATGGTTCAACTTTTACAAAAATTCATGCAACAAATCCTGTAAGAATCTTTCACGTAATTTATCTTTCATTGTTTCAGTGAGAAAATTTACATCCTTACCTTCTCGCCCCACACCAGCCTCAGGAAATAGTGATTCTTCAGATAAAAAGTCTGCCGCAACATCAGCAGCAGATTCTTCAACAGCGACATCAACATCAACATCAACGACGACATCACCAGCAACAACAACTTCTGCATCAACAATGGCATCCCCAACGACAACAACTTCAACATCAACATTGACCTCACCAACGACAACAACTTCAACATCAACGACGACATCGCCAACGACAACAATATCGTCAACATTACCACGAACAACAACAACGTCTTCAACGACAACTTTATCATCCACAACACTGACAACAACAACCACAACGCCAATAACTACATCAACATCTACGTCGGCAGCCACGACAACTCGCTCTACATCTGGAACCTGTCCACAGACATGGACACATGTTGATGACCCGACGAGTGGAGTGGATTTGGACGAGCTACTCCTGGCCGGACAAGTGAGATTTTTTTTTTTTATTGGTCTCTGGATAATCGTCCCAGGTTTTGAATAATCTGAATAATGGATTTTGTTAGTTAATTTCAAATCACAATAGGAATTGTCATTTAATGGCGGAATTCTATTAATAGTAGAACATCCGGGCATACTGTCTGGCCAATCTCATTTAGATGTTAGTAAAACATCCTGGTATCTCGTTTGGCCAAGCTCTCAAAAACAGTTCTGTACTTCTACATTGATGTGAACCAGCGTAGTGGGTCTTGATCTAGACGAAAACATTTTCACATCATTTTTTTACGAAAGATTTTATAAACACATTGTTTCTGCTACATACATGTGGAAACACATTGTTACGAGCTATGTTTTTACGAAAACGTTGCCTACTGATAGTATCGTTACGTAATGCGATGTGACGCTTTCAGGTCTTAGAAATGACAAACCCTATTCACACATAACAGCACTAAACCAAATGTAAAAGATATATAATGTGTTATAGTGACAGCAAGGTTTGTTAAGTGCTGGGTATGTAGGTTTTGTGGAACATGTGGATCGAGCGTATGGAGGTTGGAGTAAAGGTTCGATGACATTAAGCGGTTTGGTATTATAGTTTATGGAAGTTGTCGTGTTATTTGATAAAAATTTGGTTCGGCTAGAAGAGTTGTGTAAACAGGGCTCGTTACTTGTGATTAAGTTGCAGTGTTATTCTGTTGTAGTATTTTGCCTTATCTATTCACACTTTACAATCCTCCAGTTTATATTTGACAACATGCGGCATTAGAACTTAGCATCATTATTTAATGACGACAAAGAAACACGGCATGGAATAATATCTCTATAAAACTAGAGCAAACATAATTTTCATATAACTTCGTCCACTTCAAATTCATTATTCACACAGATCTGTTACGTCAACATTAGTATGTTGTTTGATATGCATAAGCCAACAATTAACATATTATACTGAGACCGCCATCTTAAAACCGTTTTTCTGTGCTTCTCTGCCCATGACCAGGGCTACCACTCAATTTTTTTAATTAAAATTCCCAAGATTTTGTCCAAATATTTCCCAAGATGTCCCAAGATCAGGAAAATAAATAAGAGTTGTTTTTCTAATCTTGGGAATTTTTTTTAAAAAGTGAGTTTTTGTCCTGAATGGGGTAGTGAATTCCCAGGATCTTGGGAAAATTCCCAAGTTTTGGTAGTCATGACCATGACATATAATATCTACTTCACTTCCTATTTATACTAACTTACCAAAAACAATACTTTACCCGATACAAAAATATTATCTCAATTTTTGATCTGTGACATGTTGGGTTATATTATAAGTGTTGGTGTTAATTATAAGATTTGGAGTTAAATTATTAGATTTGGTTTAAGTTATAAGAGTTGGGGTTAAAATATACGAGTTGGGGTAATTAAATTATAAGAGTTGGGGTTAAATTATAAGAGTTGGGGTTAAATTATAAGAGTTGGGGGTGATTAAATTATAAGAGTTGGGGTTAAATTATAAGAGTTGGGGGTGATTAAATTATAAGAGTTGGGGTTAAATTATAAGAGTTGGGGTAATTAAATTATAAGAGTTGGAGTTAAATTATAAAAGGGAGAAAGAGAAGAAGAGCCATCCTATTACGTCAACTGGACAAAGTCAAATGATGTCAGGCAGATAGATTTTATATTGTTTGTTCTAATCTAGTATTCAGGTATAATTGTAGTGATGGGAATTTTCAATCAATGATTGTGTTGTAGTTTAAGCAATCGGTCTCTAAATGGTTGGCCAGCGCTGACCTAAGTTGTTGGGAAAAAAGCTTACATTAAATTGGTTATAAAGTAACGTTTAAAAAAGGTGAACTGTTTTTTTTTTCTGTTTTTTGACAGGACGGGGCGTCTCTGATGGTCACGACAACTGACTCAAGCACGACGGCGACCTATACAAGCAGAGAGTACACGGTGAACGATCAGACGCTCTGCGTGACCGTACCGCTGACGGTTAAAGCTGATTCCTGGAAAACTCTGGGGACTAAATCTACATGGGTGATCAGGTCAGAAGTGGTCAGTTAGATTGTTGGCGTTGTTTGCTTGTGGGGCAGGTCAGAAGTCTCACGGTTGAATGTTGGGTTGGATGTTAAGTCAGAACTTATATAGTTGGATTAACCGTTGGATGCTAAGTCAAAACTTATACAGTTGGATATGGGGTTCATGATACCCTCACTGGGTAGCCCTTGCAACCAGTGAAATATCCTCTTCAACACCAGGCACAGAAACATTGCAAATCCCCTCTACATGCATAGGAGCCAGAAGAATCAATGCATTGATCGTGGGCCCTTAATATACAGAAGAAGAAAAAGAAGAGACGCACTTATGCTCGGGCTGCAGTTCAAAATCTCTGTATGTGATGACATTAACCCGCCTCTCTGCTCCACAGAAAGTTCTGCAACAGTAACACCATGACGGAATACCTGCTGGACGGGACAGCAAAGTCCACGGTCGTTGACATCAGGTGGCTCTACAGGCGAGACAACAAACCTGGGAGCCAGAGCACAGGGTACCTGATCAACACCAATAACGGCGATATCGCTCAGGTAAGCAGAGGGTGACGATAGTTGGACGATGACGGTGAATATAAGGCACGGACAAGTAAAGATGAAGTCAGTCTAAGGATAATTGATAGCTTGATCCGTTTTAACAGATCGATTCGAAAATGATATAATTTTTTAAAAAAATCTTAACTGGATGTTAAAATTTGTTATGATAGCAAGAGAAGCGATTTTTTTTTGGGGTCTTACTTTTACTCTATAAACATATTTTAATACTTAACCTTTGTGTATTTAAAGGCATAGTTACATTATAACTTTGACAGAACCAGGAATTGTGTTCAAAATTTACATTACCGGAAACATTTCGTAAACGTGCATAAACTTTTTTTTTATATGATACAGCAGAATATTGTTAACAAGATACAGGTTTATGACTATTAAAGTCATTAAAAAACTATCAACAGAGCTGTTTTTTTATTACACGACACATCTTAAAGAAGTAAAATTACATTTGTAAATGTAATCACAGTGTTTCCAATGTACGAATTATAAGAGAGTTGGACTGCGATAGAGCTTTAAATCAGATTAATTAGACACGAACAATTTTGTGTAAATAAAAAAAATATATGTTCAATACGACAATTGCACAGGTCAGGAATAAAGCAAGTTTCTATATCACGATTACACAGGGCAGAAATAAAGCAAGGCTCCATATAACAATAGGGCTTGTCATTTAATGGCGGAAATCTATTAATAAAACTGATGTCATTATTACTGATCATCCGGGTACTCAGCGCGGACAAAATGTCAACACTGTTCAGTATTACTATGTTAGCGAAGTGTCCCTGAAAGTTGTTTACAACTCTATTTTACGAAATATTTTACACATTTTTTTTTTTTACTTCTGTTTTCTCAAATGCGACTTCATTGCGTGAACGTCATATGTAACAGTAACTCTAGATACAAGGATCGCCCGAACGATATGCTGAAACACACTATAAGCTGCCATGTTTTAAGCAATATTTGTCCGCGGACCTTCTAAAAATAGTACGCTATGACGTTTTCCGGTCTTAGAAATGACAAAGCCTATTGCACAGGGCAGGAATAAAGCAAGGTTCTATATAACAATTGCATAGGGCAGGAATAAAGAAAGTTTCTATATCGCAACTACACAGGGCAAGCTGTCGACATTCAAACAAGATGTGCAGGCCGGCGTGGGAGCGACAGTCTTGATTCACCTCGTCAACAAAGGCCAAGGAAAACAACCGACCAACACGCTCCCCAGCGACTACGACGTGTTCACCAACCAGGTCGTCATCGTGAAGTCTGGGGAGGATGATGTGGCTGCCATGAACGTCTTGTCTTTTGCAAAGGTGAAACTGGCCTGTGTTTTTACCTTATGCCCCTCCTTAATGGCAAAGTGTGCACGATGAGCATCTTGTGCGTCTCACTAACATATGTGCATCTTAGCAAAGGATGTGCATCTTAGAGAAGGATGTGCATCTTAGTAAAGGATGTGCATCTTAGTAAAGGATGTGCATCTTAGCAAAGGATGTGCATCTTAGAGAAGGATGTGCATCTTAGTAAAGGATGTGCATCTTAGTAAAGGATGTGCATCTTAGTAAAGGATGTGCATCTTAGTAAAGGATGTGCATCTTAGTAAAGGATGTGCATCTTAGCAAAGGATGTGCATCTTAGAGAAGGATGTGCATCTTAGTAAAGGATGTGCATCTTAGTAAAGGATGTGCATCTTAGCAAAGGATGTGCATCTTAGTAAAGGATGTGCATCTTAGTAAAGGATGTGCATCTTAGTAAAGGATGTGCATCTTAG